GGATCCCAACTGATAGAACGCTTGCGCCCGGCCAAGCGCAGCAGCCGTCGCCAGCCGCGCGTCCTTAGAACACCCGTCAAACGCGGCACTCAAACTTGCCGCCGAATGCCCCCGCCAGATCCTACTTGGCCCAGGCCCTGTATTCACCGAGGCTCAGCAAGCTCGTCGCAGCGGCAACCCGTGCGCAGTCACCGCAGACCATGGCAGCCAAGTGCGGACTATGTGGCACAATTTTCTCATACAGGTCGGACGTCGTTGGAATGCTTGAGATGTTCCTGCTGTTGGGGGAAGGCGGAAGCTGGATATTGCACAGGTCAGTTGTAGACGGGCATGTGAGGATTGGCAGAATTTGAGGTTGCCCTTCCGGGTCTAAGCCACAAGGAATGGGTCAAGTAGACACAAAAAACCTCAACGTACAACCAGCATGCTCACGAAAGTCCATTGTTAGGAAATGCATGAACGACCTCTTAACACTCGAGGCTGGGAACCTTCGTGTTGGGAAGGAGCTCCGACACCTTCGAGAACTTGGGCTTCTTCAGAACCGGCGGAGGAGTGCTCTTCCTCGTGCGCTTGCAAGATAACCTCTGACCAAGAAAACCAAAGNNTATGCTGGAGAGCTGGATGATCTCCATGAAGGACGGCTTCAGCGACGCGCCTCACAAGCACATCACATTTGGAGCACAAGCACCGGAAGTCTGACGTTCTTCCGCTGCAGCCTCCAACCAAGAAGCCATCAATGTTCGGCTTCTTGATGAGCTCTGCGCCTAGGAAGGTTGCAAAACTGCAGGGCAAACATGCAGGCCGCCCTGGCAACTAAGAACCAGTCAGTTCTCCACTGTAACAGAGCCACCATACTGGATCCGGACCTCTACCACACGGCAAAGCTGGCTCAGAAAAAAACGGGCTACAAGAAGGCCTCAGGCCTTTTCTGCCACGTCCTCGCTCACAGCCTTCGCCAGGTAAGAGCGGATCGCGGCATGCGTCTCTTCTGCCTGTAAGCTGGAACACAAACTGGTGCAAACCAGTCGACGATTTTAGGCCGATGTCTTGTCGCGCCTGCTCGGGCGTTGCCACCTTTCCTGTTCCAATGGCCCAAACAGG